AAATATGTCAAGGTATGATCCCTCTATTCCCACATTGTTGAGCATTTTTATCAGAAATGGGTGCTGGATTTTGTCGAATGCTTTTTCAGCATCTATTGATAAGATCATATGGTTTTTATCTTTCATTTTGTTTATGTGGTGTATCACATTTATTGGTTTACAAATATTACACCATCCTTGCATCCCTGGGATGAAGTTCATTTGGTCATGATGAATAATTTTTTTGATGTATCACTGGATCTGATTTGCTAATATTTTGTTAATGATTTTGGCATCTGTGTTCATCAGGGATATTGGCCTTTAGTTTTATTTTTTTGTAGTGTCTTTATCTGGTTTTGGAATTAGGATTATGCCTCATAAAATGAGTTTGAAAGTCTTTCGTTGTCTTGGATTTTTTTTTTTTAACTTTTTTTTTTTTTTTTTCTTTATTGATTTTAGAGAGAGAGGAAGGGAAAAGGAAAGAGATAGAAACATCGAGAGAGAACATCGTTTGGCTGCTTCCTACATGCCCCCCACTGGGGATCAGGCCCACAACTTGGGCATGTGCCCTGACTGGGAATCGAACTGGTGACCTCTTGGTGCATTGGTCAACACTCAACCACTGAGTCACACTGGCCGGGCTGGATTTAAAAATTTTATTTATTTATTTATTGCTTTTCAGAGAGAGAGGAAGGTAGAGAGGTAGAGAGATAGATACATCAATGAGAGAGAACATCATTTGGCCTCCTTCATGCCCTTCACTGGGAATTGGGCCCACAACCTGGGTATGTGCCCTGACTGGGGAAGTGAACTGGCGACCTCTTGGTGCATGGGTTGACATTCAACCACTGAGCCACACTGGCCGGGCCATGTTCTTGGATTTTTTGGAATAGTTGGAGGAGAATGGGTGTTAAATCTTCTTTGAGTGTTCGGTAAAACTACCCCGTGAAGCCATCCAGGCCTGGGCTTTTTGTTTGCTGGGAGTTTCTTGATTACATCTTCAATTTCCTTAGTTTTTATTAGTCTGTTCAAGTTTTCTATCTCTTCCCGGTTCAGTTTTGGGAGACTGTGTTTCTTGAAATTTGTCCATTTTGCCTAGATTGTCCAATTTGTTGGCATATGAAAATTGTTCATAGTATGTTCTGATGATCTTTTGTATTTCTGTGGTGTGTGTTGTTACTTCTCCTCTTTTGTTTCTAATGTTGTGTATTTGGGTCCTCTTTTTGTTTCTTGGTTAATCTAGCTAAGGGTCCATCAATCTTGTTTATCTTTTCAAAGAACCAGCTCTTTGTTTCATTGATCTTTTGAATTGTTTTTTTTTAGTTTCTGTGTTGTTTATTTCTGCTTTGACCTTTACTATTTCTTTTCTTTTACTTGCTCTGGGTTTTTCTTTTTGTTTATTTTCTAGTCTTTAAGTTGTAGGGTTAGAAAGTCAATTAGGAATTTTTTTTTTTTTTATTTCTTGAGGTAGGCCTGTAGTGCTATGAACTTCCCTCTCAGGACTGCTTTCGCTGCTTCCCATAGATTTTGTGGTGTTGTGTGTTTGTTTTCATTGGTTTCCAGAAGGTTTTTAATTTCTCCTTGGTAACCCATTCATTGTTTAATAACATGCTATTTGGCCTCCAAGTGTTTGAATGTTTTTGTGTTTTTGTTGTAATTGATTTCTAGTTTCATACCATTATGATCTGAGAAGATACTTGATATGATTTCAGTCTTCTTGAGTTTGTAGAGATTTACTTTGTGTCCTAACATGTGGTCTAACTTCGAGAATGTCCTGTGTGCACTTGAGAAGAATGTATATTCTGCAGCTTTGGGGTGAAGTGTTCTGTTAATATCAATTAAGTCCAACTTATCAAGTTCGTTATTAAAGGACTTTGTGTCCTTGTTAATTTTTTGTCAAGAGATCTATCTAGTGGTGTCAGTGGGGTGTTAAAAGTCACCCACTATGATTGTATTGCTGTTATTCTCTCCCTGAAGTCCTCTAGAAGGTTTAAAATATATTTTGGTGCTCCCTTATTTGGAGCACATATGTTTACCAGGGTTATATCCTCTTGTTGGATTGATCCCTTTAATATTATGTAGTGACCTTCTTTGTCTCTTATTATGGCCCTTGTTTTGAAGTCTGTCTTATCAGATATGAGTATTGCTATACCAGCTTTTGTTTTTTTTTTTCATTTTCATTTGCTTGGAACATTTTTTTCCATCCCTTCACTTTCATCCTGTGTGAGTCTTTTGTTGTGAGATGGGGCTCTTGTAGACAGCATATATATGGGTCGTGTTTTCTTATCCAGTCAGCTACCCTGTGTCTTTTGATTGGAGCATTTAAGCCATTTACATTTAAGGTTATTGATGGATACTTATTAATTGCCATTTTTATTTTATGCCTGCCCCCCCCAACCCCCCCCGCCCCCGCCCCCGTCTCTTCTTCTTACAATAGTCCCTTCAGCATTTCTTGCAGTGCTGGTTTGGTGGTAGTAAATTTCTTTAGCTTTGTTTTGTTTATGAAGCTCTTTATTTCTCCTTCCATTTTGAATGATAGCCATTCTGGATAGACTAGTCTTTGATTCACACCCTTGCCTTTCATTACTTTGTATACTTCATGCCACTCCCTTCTGGCCTGCAGTGTTTCTATTGAAAAATCAGCTGAAGTCTGATGGGAACTCCCTTGTAGGTAACTTTCTGTCTCTCTCTTGCTTTCTTTAAGATTCTTTCTTTGTCTTTAATGTTTGCCATTTTAATTATGATGTGTCTAGCTGTGGGTCTTTTGGGGTTTATCTTGCTTGAGACTCTCTGTGTTTTCTGGATTTGTGTGACTTTTTCCTTCACCAATTTAGGGAAGTTTTCTGTCATTATTTCTTTAAACAGGTTCTCTATTCCTTTCTCTGATTTTTCTCCTTCCGCTATCCCTATAATGCAAATGTTGTTACATTTCGTATTGTCCCAAAGTTCCCTTAGACTTTCCTCCTGATTTTTATTTTTCTTTTTTTTCCCCATTTGCTGCTCTATTTGGGTGTTTTTTCTACCTTGTCTTCTAACTTGCCGATTCGGTCGTCAGCTTCTTCTAATCTACTATTGAATCCTTCTAAGGTATTTTTCATAACAACTATGTCATTCTTTATTTCTTCTTGATTTTTATTCATAGCTTCCACCTCTTATTTTAAGCTGATGTAGTTCCCACTAAGCTCTTCATAATTCTTATTAAGTTGCTTGTAGTTCTCACTAAATTGTTTGAGTACCCTTAAAATTATTGCTTTGACTCCTTTATCTGACAAATTGCTTTCTTCCATTTCATATAGTTCCTTTTCTGGTGATTCCTCCTTTTCTTTCATTTGGGTGCTGTTTTTTCATCTCACCATTTTAGCAGTCTGGTAGTTCTAGGTGCAGTGAGGGATGTTGGAATGTGTAGACAGGTCGGTGTGTATCAAATAAGGCTGCTGTGCCTTCCAGACTGTTTTGGTGTGTGGTGTCTCTTGCCTGCTGTGGGTCCTGGAGGATTGACAACTTGCAGCTGTATTAGTCTGTCATATTAGGTCTCTTGTGCAGGTCTTGGCTGCCTGAGTCTTGCTGCTGCTGTGGCTAGGGCACTGCTCCTGATCAGCCTCTGCTGATGCTCTTGGGGATGGGTCTCAGCTGCCAATCTTTGCTGCTGCTGCCTGGGGTGCATGGGCCCAGCTGGTGCACTGCTGAGGTGCGTGGGTTCTGCTGGTGCGCTACTGGGGTGAGTGAGTCCTGCTGGTGTGCTTCTGGGGTACTCAGATGCCTGGTGGGGCTCAGCTCCTGATCATTTGCCACTGGAGGCGAGTGTAAGCTCCTGGTTTGCGCTGCTACTGCTGCTGCTGTTGCCAGGGGGTGCTCTAATTTCCAGTCCTCTACTGCTGTTGGGGGCTGAGGATGCTCAGCTTCCGGGACTTTGCTGCTGCTGGGAGAAGGGCTTCATTCCAAATCTGCTGCTGCAGTTGTCAGGAGCAGGTCTTGGCTGCCAGAGTCTTGCTGCTGCTTGGGTTGGGGCACCACTCCTGATCAGCCTCTGATGATGCCACTGGGGATGGGTCTCTGCTGCCTATCTGTGCTGCTGGGGATGTGTCTCAGCTCCTGAGCCTCAGCTGTTGTTGGGGGTGGGGCTCCACTCCTGCCCTGTCACTGCTGCTGTGGGGGAAGGTGCTGGGCTTGGATCAGGCTTTTGCTGTGGGGGATGGTGCTCAGCTGCTGGCCAGTTGTGGCTACTGCAGCATGCACCTCGATAGCACCACTACTGTGTGCAGGTCTGTGTTGACACAGTGGGGTCCACTGGTCCAGTGGTGTAAGGTACTCTGGTGGACTCAGGTCACTCGGCCCCACCTTCTCCCCGCTGCCTCTTCCCAGAGAAGACCAGGGATCTTCCAAAATGGCAGGGCCGTATGGCCGTGCAGAGAGAAGCTCCCTGATAAGCCACTTACTGTGGTAGCCAGCTGCTCCCCATCCATAGCATAGGAACCCTCTGCCCCATGTTTCTGCACTGCTCAAGGTTGCTCATCCACACTCATGTCCATTCACACTCTCTTTCACTCTCACTGACTCTCTCACATTCACCCTCTCTCTGGTTCTGCCCACCTCCATTGCAAATATTCTTTATTCAAACATCCAAATACATTCTTATACTCTATAGGTCAGTTTGGAAAATGTGACCTTTGATTTTTAAAAACCCACATTAAAATCTTATGGCAATTCCAGCAAACTTGTAAAATCTTATTGAATATATTCTAGAACCTGAATAACCTGTTTTCATTTTAAAAGACAGGAAATACAAATCAGGAGAATCTTCTAATCTTTATTATAATTCTTATGTTACAGCAATGATAAGTCCACTTAACTGTTTCTGCCTTTCTTATAAAGAAACCAGGAAATAAGTTGAGAATTAGAGTAAGAAAAATTTTAAGAGACATTGTCAAGCTGTTATTAAATCACTGCTTTTGTGGTAGTATCTGGGCTCTCTTGAGTGTTTTTCATGGTGAATCTCTTGTGTTTTCTTTCCCTCCTCCCAGTGTGCTCTGGCTGCTGATGAAGTAGTATTTAATAAGAAGGAACTGGAGGTGAAAGAACTAAAGAATCAAGTGCAAATGATGGTGCAGGAAAACAAAGAACATGTTCTATCTTTGAAAGAAGCGCAAAAAGTGAATAGATTGCAGGTAGAATTTCTTAATGTATCTAGCTCTTTAGATTTAGTTGGGCTAGTACCTAACTAAATAGATAAGCATTTAAATGAAAAATGGAAATGTTTACAAAAATAGGTTTCAGTTGAAAAGTTCTGAACACAGGCACCTGAAAGAGTTATTGCAGTTTTTCCTCTAAGGCGGTATAAAGGGAAACCATTTTTATTGTTAGCTTAACTTATATTGTTATCTTTTCTTCATCCTTTTCCCTCTCATTGTTTGCCAAGGTAATAGGCAATGTAATATTGTTAAGAGTTGGATGGTAGGTAAGCAATGATGAAAATAATGCAGAATTTTGTGGCCCTGTCAATGGAATGAGCCCACTTTTAAACTCCTTAAGGACCAGATGGCAAGTCTGGTTCCCACCAGCTGCAGAACTTCCAGTTCCATGTCATTTGCTGGGAGGAAGTGAATCTTAAATTTTGGTGAACAGAGTATGCGGTGCAGCATTATTTCTACACTCTTTGGAAATGTCATATTTGTCATGTACAAAATCACAGTCACTATTAAGAAGTATTAATTCGACCAGCTTACAATTCCAACAATCCCTCTGCTCTAATGGGCTTCTGTTGTTTTCATGTGTAATAATAAAAGTCATTATTATTTTTAAAAAAAGAATTAGACAGTAAACACATAATTTAAGCTTTTAAATGTATTAGATTATCCTTTTATATTACATCAGTGATTTGCTCTTTAACTTTGGTGGTTTAATATTTCAAAATTTCTATCTTAGCTTTCTTATTATTAACATGGATATGTCTGCAATGTAACATGGTATGTCCCTAAATACACTTTCTGGCTGTGAAACGTGCCCTGGCCCTCAACAGTTAATTTCATTTAAAGCCTTTATCTTCTTATCAGGGAGTAACTAATGCCTTGAGAAATAATCTGATCCAGCAAACTGTCAACCCTCAGGAATCCTTCATCCCTTCTTCTCTGAGAGAGCCATTCTTTTTGTTGTTGTTGTTGTTAATCCTCACCCGAGGATATTTTTTCCATTGGTTTGATTGAGAGAGAGTGGAAGGGAGGGAGGGAGAGAAAGAGAGAGAGCGAGAGAGAAACGAGGATGGGAGAGAGGGAGGAAGATAGAGAGAGAAACATCGATATGAGAGAGACACATCGACTGGCTGCCACCCACATGACCTCAACCAGGGCCGGGGACAAACTGCAACCGAGGTATGTGCCCTTAGTGAGAACCGAACCCGGGACACTCTGGTCCGCGGGCCAACACTCGAACCGCTGAGCCAAACTGGCCAGGGCTGAACATTTTTTTTTGATTCATCCATGTAACTGTAGCTTGTTTAGTTTTATAGCTATATAGAATTTCAGTATATGAATATATACCATAATTAATTTATCTGTTCTGTTGATGGACTTTGTTTTTCATGAATATTCTTATACATGTTTCTTGGTGCACATAAACACTTATTTCTTTCAGGTTTGTGTCTAGGTCATAGGGTAGGTGAATCTTCAGTATCAGTAAATAATATGAAACTGTTTTCCAATTTACACTGGTACCAGCCCTATGTAAGCATTCCTTCTGCTCCGCATACTTACCAACGTTTTGTTATTTTTTTTTAATGATTTTTTATTTTTCAATTACAGTTGACATACAATATTATATTAGTTTTAGGTGTACACCATAGTGATTAGACATTTACATAATTTATGAAGTGATCGCCCCAACATTTATTATCATTAATTTTTAAACCTTAGGCAGTCTGGTAGGTATGTAGTAGTAGTTTCTTGTGGTTTTAATTTGCATTTGCTGGAAAATACTTGTTCATGTTTTTTGGCTCTTTGATTATCTTTTTCTGTAAAATATTCATTCAAGTCTCTTGCTTGCTTTTCTTTTGGACTTTTTTTTTTATTTTTTTTTATCCTCACTGGAGGACATTTTTCCATTTTTTGTTCAGGTAGAGTGGGAGGGAGAGAGAGGAACAGAGAGAGAGAGAGAAACATCGATGTGAAAGGAACACATCGAGTGGCTGCCACCCGCACAACCGACCAGGGCCGGGGACAAACTGCAACCGAGGTACATGCCCTTAGCGGGAACCGAACCCAGGTCTCTCAGGACCGCAGGCTGACACTCTAACCGCTGAGCCAAACCGGCCAGGGCTGGACTCTTTTTAAATTTAAATTGCAGAAGTTTGTTATACAGGGGTTGGTAAAAGTAGGTTAACAGTTGTTGAGTACATGAAACAGTTTATTATTGCATTATTATTTATTCTTGTATTTATTTTTCCATATGAACAACTGTAAACCTACCTTTGCCCATCCCTGTATATTCTGAGTATGAGCTCTTTGTCAGTTATATGGTTCCAAATATTTTTTTCTCTTTTTGTGGCTTTTTACTGTCAATGACGTCTTTTGATGAAAAGATATGTTGTAATCAGTCCAGCCAGTGTGGCTTAGTGAATTGAGTGTCATCCCATGGCCCATGGACTGAGAGGTCCCAGTTCCATTTCTGGTCAGGGCACATTCCCGGGTTTCCGACTTGATCCCCAGTGTGGGGTGTGCAGGAGGCAGCCAATCGATGTTTGTCTCTCACATTGATGTTTCTATCTCACTTTCCCTTCCTTTCTCGCTAAAAAATCAATGAAAACATATTGTAAAAAAAGATATAATCAAATTCAGCAATCTTTTTTTATGGTTAATGATTTTTTGCTATAACAAGCCTTTTCTTGTAGGATATTTTCTATATTATCTTCTAGGAGTTTTATTATTTTGCCTTTTTAGCTGTACAGTACTTCTGTAATTGGTTTTTGTGCATGGGGTAAAGTAAATGTCAATTATTTTTTCTCAATGTAGATATCCATCTGTTCTGTCACCATTTATTGAAAAGATCATCCTTTCACCACTGTTCTGAGAGCTATCTTTGTCATAAGTCAAGGTTCATTCGTGCCTGAATTTATTGTCTATTCTGGAACTTCTGTTGTATCCTTGGTTTTTCTATTGTAGGTTCATAATAAGTCTAGATATTCAGTAGAGCAAGGCTTCTGCTTTGTTTCCCTAACCTCTAAGAATGTCTTGGTTCCATATAAATTTCAGACTCAGCTGTCAAGGTCCACAAAAAAACAAACTCATTTTTTATAATTTCGCTTGGGATTGTGTTAAATCTGCAGATCCATTGGGAAAAAATTGAAATCTTTTTTTTTTTTATCCTCACCCGAGGACATTTTTTTTTTCCATTTTTTTGTTCAGATAGAGTGGGAGGGAGAGAGAGAAAGAGAGAGAGAGAGAAACATCAACGTGAAAGGGACACATTGAGTGGCTGCCACCTGCATGACCAACCAGGGCCGGGGACAAACTGCAACCGAGGTACACGCCCTTAGCGGGAACCGAACCTGGGTCTCTCTGGACCGCGGGCCAAAGCTCTAACCGCTGAGCCAAACCGGCCAGGACAAAAATTGACATCTTTTGATTGTCTTTTTTTTTTAGTTAGTCCTCCTCCAGGGATATTTTTTTCCATTGATTTTTAGAGAGAGTGGAAGGGAGGGAGGGCCAGGGATGGAACCTACAACCCAAGTACATGCTCTTGATCCTTTGGTGCGTGGTCCGACACACTAACCATTGAGCAACACCTACCAGGGCTGATTATGAGTCTTCTAATCTATGAACATGGTATTTTCCTTCATTTACCATTTCCTTTGCTTTTTCTCAATAGTGGTTATGTGTGTGTACACAAGTCTTGCACATCTTTTGTTAGACTTATACCTAGGTACTTGATTTTTTTAATATCACTAAATGGAATCTTTTTAATATTTCATATTTTTAATTGTTTGTTGGTATGTGTAAATGTATTGATTTTGGTATATTGATATACCCAGCAAATTCACTTTTTAATTCTAATACTTAGGTAAATTCTTTCAGATTTTATTTACAATTGTTTTATCTGCAAATGATGACAGCCTTGTTTCTTTGTTTATAATCCATATACCTTTTATTTCTTTTTCTTGCCTTTCTTCATTCTTCAGTACAGTGTTGAATACAAGTGATGATAGCAAGCATACCTTGTCTTGTATCCATTCATAGAGGAAAAGCTTTCACTATTAAGTACCATGTTAGCAGTGGGTATTTTTTATTTACCTTCTATCAATCCAAGACACATTTCTTTGCTAAGAATTTTTATTATGACTGGATATTGAATTTTATCAAATAATTTGTTATCATGAATTTTTTAAATTCTGTTAATATGGTGAGTTATATTGATTTTTCTAATGTTAAATGTCTTGCATTCCTGGAATAAACTTTTTTTTTCTGGTCATGATATATTGTTGTGTTTGGGGTTCCCAAGACCACCCTCAGGTTGGGTGATGCACTAAAGGGACTCAGCATATTGTCATGCTCTTGGCTAAGATTTATTATAGTGAAAGGAGGACAGTGATTAGCAAAGGATAGAAAAGGCGCATAGGGCAAAGTCTGGAGGAAACCAGGTTCGGACTTCCAAGAGTTGCTTGCTTCCTAGTGGAGTCACACTGATGTGCTTAATTCTCTAGCAATGACTGTGACAACACATGTGAAATGTTAATTACCAGGAAAGCTCAGAAGATACTCACTGCCTACAGTTTTTATTGAAGGCTAATCATGAAGGTCCTCTCTGCCCAGCATGTACCAAAATTCCTGACTACCAGAAGGAAGGCAGGTGTTTAGCATACCACTTTGTCTGCACTGACAGTTTGAGCTGAGCCACTCTCATCTATGCTTGTTTCTATCTGCATTCCACATGCAGCTTAAAATATCTCCTAATTTAAAAAAAATCCTAACCCAAGGATATTTTTTTTTCATTGATTTTTAGACAGAGTGGGAGGGAAGGGGTGGAGGAGAGAGAGAGAAGTGGGCAGAGAAAACCATTCATGTGAGAGAGACACATCAATTAGTTGCCTCCTGCAAGACCCCAACTGGACCGGGGATCGAATCTCTAACTGAGGTATGTGCCCTTGACCAGGAATCAAACCCATGACTCTTTGGTCCATGGGCTGCCACTCTAACTGCTGAGCCAAACTGGCCAGGGCAAAATATTTCCTAATTTTTGTTGTGACTCTTTTCTTTGAACTATGGGATATATATATTTTATTTCTAACACATGGATGATTTTTTAAAATTAATTTTTAGGTTAAGTGCATTGTGGTCCCTGTGATTTCAGTCCTTTGAATGTGTTGAAACTTCCTTTATGGCTCAGTATAAGAACAGTTTTGTAGATGTTACAGATGTGCTTGAAAAGAATGTGTATTATGTAGTCATTTGGTGCTATTAATCCTGTTATTCAAATCTATATTTTCACTCATTGGTCTGGCTCTTTTTGTTATATCAGTAATTTAAGAGTGGTGTTAAAATCTCCCACTGATTTTGGATTTGTCTTCTCCATGAAGTCCTGCTTTCTGCATTATATATTGAAGCTGTATTATTAAGTACATAGCAATGTAGACTTGTTACATTATCCTAGTGAGTTGACCTTTTTAAAAAATAATTTTTATTCTTTTTATCTCTTGTCATGGTTTTTGCCTTAAGGTTCATTTTGATATGACTATAGCTATGCCAGCTTTCTTTTGTTTAATAGTTACATGGTGTCTCTTTTTTATCTTATTTTTAATCTTTCTGTGTCTATTTTAGTTCTGTTTCTTATAAGCAGCAGATTAGATAATTTTATAATCTTATCTGACAGTCCTGTTTCTTATAAGCAGCAGGTTAGATAATTTTATAATCTTCTCTGATAGTCTTTACCTCTTAATAGGATTACTTTGTTCATTGATGAATTTAACATAATTACTACTATATTTTGGTTATAATCCTATTATTGTGCCTTTTTATTTATCCTACCTTCTCGGTGTTCCTTTTTTTCCTCCTTTCTTACCTTCTTTTCGATTGTGTATTTTAAATTTTTATTTCATTAGCTTAGAAGTTCTACCTTTGCCTTAATAAAGTCTAATATTAATTGGTATTTTCACCATTTGAATACCCACCCTCAACTTATTTATGTGCCATTTAGTTGTATATTTTAATTATCTGTATGCATGACTTTTAAATAAGGTTGCATTTTTTTTTTTTTTTTTGGTATGTGCCCCTCGCAGGAACTGAACGTGGGATTCTCTGGTCCACAGGCCCACGCTCCAACCGCTGAGCCACACTGGCCAGGTCTAAGGTTGCATTTTTATAGCTCAACATTAACATAGTGAAAATTTAGTTTTTTTTTTTTTTCTTTTTAAACATTATAGTACAGTGGAATGTTAAGATGAATGACAATTTCTTGTTTATATAGTTTTGTGCTTATAAAACAAAGATTGATGTTAGAGCTTCTGGATTGGATATACTTTAAAATTTTCTTTAAAAAATAGAAAACAAAACAACAACAACAAAAATAAATTAAAAACATTTTTCTTTAGAGGATACATAAAAAACTAAACCACACCCACACATACACACAGTCTCCTCCCCTCCCCCTGCCTCCCATATACAATATGTCCTGCCTTTGATTTCTTTTTTTTTTCCTCACCTGAGGACATTTTTCCATTTTTTGTTCAGGTAGAGTGGGAGGGGGAGAGAGGAAGAGAGAGAGAAACATCGATGTGAAAGGGACACATCGGGTGGCTGCCACCTGCACGACCAACCAGGGCCGGGGACAAACTGTAACCGAGGCACACGCCCTTAGCGGGAACCGAACCCGGGTCTCTGGGGACCGCAGGGCAATGCTCTAACCGCTGAACCAAACCGGTCAGGACCTGCTTTTGATTTCTAAGTTCTACTTTCTCCCAGGACTATCAGTTGCCTATCTTCTCTCTCTTATTCTCTGGGCTTTCTTTTTCACTGAGTAAAGGCTTTCACGTCATTGCACCTGTTGCCACTTTTTGTCTCCTTTGCTGTCACCTCTGCTATTTGCAACTCTTCCTCCACTTTTCAGCATTCTGGTCTCTTGTTACTTCTTGGATTTCACCCAGAGTCCAAACTTTTATAAAATCAGCTAATCAGAGTGCTTCAGGTTGGCAAACCGACCAATCACAGTGTATGGGGCCTTTTTTTTTTTTGAGTATTTAACTCTATGCTGTGTTTGTTGCTGCTTACTGTTCGAAAGTGTTTACCATTCAGAACAGTCCTAGATACTTGTGAACACCAGAGGCTAGTCTTTGAATCAATGAGGATTTACTGTCCTGTTAAGGTAGTTGTGATTTGGGTCAGTACAATTTATTTTTTATCATTATCTACACCTGTACTAAATATCTTTATTTTTAAAATTCTCATCTCTCTTCTGCAAAGAATGAAAAAATAATAGAACAACAACTTCTTCTGGATCAAATGAGTGAAGAACTAACAAAACTAAACCTGTCAATGACTTCTTCAGCTAAGGAAACTTGTGGAGATGGACCAGATGCCAGAATACCTGAAAAGAGACCGTATACTGTACCGTTTGATACTCGTTTGGGGCATTATATTTGTATCCCAGCAAGATCAGATGCCAGGAAGGTAAAGTCTGAACATTAATCTCTTATTTTGAGATCTTAAAAATATTATATGTAATATAATAAATATCACAGTGTATTTGTACAGTCTCAGAAGGTACTGTTTGGTTTCTGTTTGGTTTTATAGACTTTTGTGTATTCTCTTTCTTTTAATCATATCATGCTTCTTTTTAATAAAAAATCAATAGGAGAATGTATAGTTATAGTTGGAAGGAATAGTTAAAGATAATATCTGCATTCATCAGGGAGGAAAAGCTATCCTTTACCATCATATTTTCAGACATGACTAAGTCAAGATATCTTCATGAATTTTTTTTTCTTTAACTACACCAAGTTGAGATGAGGTTGAGGGTATTTATTTTGACTTATTTGGTTTGCCTTATTATTTTCAAAATGACATTTATGTGTTAGTCAGTCTTGCCAAGCTGAATATCAAGAATGTATAAAGATCAGTATGAACTTTTGTTTTAATTTTATTTACTTATGAATATGTGTGTGTGTGGTAAATATACGCACACTCATTTGAAAAAGCATCAAGTAATCTCTACTATAGAAAAGTTTAATTAGCAGATTCATGTATTTGGGTTTCTCTTAATTTTATGAAGGGAAATGATTTGTTTGAGATCTATGTGATGGTTACAGGCAAAGGGATAAGAAATATGCTGGTTGTTATAGACTATGCAGTCAGGCAGGCTTGGGTGTGAACACCAGCTCTATTGTCTAGGACTACATGTCACTAAACCTGTGGAAGCCCCAGTTTCCTTATCTGTCAGAATGGGGGAAACATGGGGATGTATGGAGGATTTACATCAGATGTTTACTCAAAAAGTGCCTGGCACATTGTGTCCTCAATCTATGTCAATGGGGTGCTTTTACTATGTCCCAGGCTCAGTACCTCAGAGTGATTAAGGCAAATATTATCTTTACCTGTATGGTTTTCAATTTTGAGTGGTTGAATTTTAAAATTTAAACCTTTGTTATTAATTTTGGTTTTACTTTGTAGAATCTTTGGCATTTTCCTTATGGTTGAATATATGGTACCTTTTCATAGAACATTTGGGAAGAAAGATAAATTCTCCACATGGTTCACATTTGATATCTATTTTAATTTAATACTTATATATCAAGTCTTCTATATTTTATTTCTATTGGTTAGTTATGTTTCTGTCCATTCTTTTATTAAAAAAATAACATTTGAGTTTTGTTTTTCTGATTACAAAAGTTACATATACTTATTCTCTCTCTTGGTTTCTGTTTTTTATTTTTACTAGACTTTCACTCACACACACACACACACACACACACACATACACACACAGACTCTTTGAGAAGTTAGAGCTCTGTGGCCTCTTCTGAAGGGTAGGCCTTTCTGTTCTTATCTCTAGTTGTTTGATTAGACCTGAAGCAGACATCTAGAATTATTTCATATTAGTAAATTCTTTTTTAAATATGTTTTTTTCCTTCTCCTTTATTGATTTTAGAGAGAAGGAAGGGAGAGGGAGAGAGACATAGAAATATTGATTAGAGAGAACATGGATTGGCTGCCTCCTGCATGCCTCCCTAATGGGGAAGAGGCCCACAAACTGGGCATGTACTCTGCCTGGGAACCGGACTGGCGACCTCTTGGTGCATGGGTTGATGCTCAGCCACTGAGCCACTCCGGCTGGGCAGCAAATTAGTAAATTCTTAGTTTTGTTTTAAAAATTTTGCCCAGCCAGTGTGGCTTAGATTGAGCATTGTCCCATGGACTGAGAGGTCCTGGTTTGATTTCCCAGTCAGGGCACATGCCTGGGTTGTGAGCCTGATCCCCACTGGGGTGTGCAGGAGGCAGCCGATTGATGTTTCTCTCTCACATCAATGTTTCTATTTCTCTTCCTTCCTCTTTCTCTAAAAAAATCAATAAAAAAATAGGAAAATAAAAAAATAAAAGTGCTCTCTTACCATTAAAAAAATTTTTTTTTCCTTGTACCCCAAAATAACCCTTCTAGCCACTGTAAGAAAAGAAAAAGGAAAACGATGCAAAGGTCATATGATCAGTGTTTTGAGAGTTCTCTTGCTCCTACTGTGTGTCCAGAAATCCTGGCCACCTCCTTTGCCTGGCCTGGTTATTGCAGCAGACATGAAAAAGCAGGCTTGCATGAGGAAGACATATAGTATGGCAAGCCTTGTTCAAGTCCTGTTTACTGTTCCATTGTGTTAAGTATAAGTGGGATGTCTCATACTGGATACCAAAACTAGCTAAATTAAGCCAAAGAAAACATATGAAATACGATTTCATTTTCTCCTGGATTTCTGTCTCCTTGGCAGAAGTCTAGCTAATATTTTTCAGCCCTAATTCTTTTATTTTATACTTCAACTTAAAATACTTTAAAAAGAAAAGGGGAAAATAGCTTAATTTATTTTTAAATTGATTAAAGAAAGAGTTTGATTTTATTTTTTATGCTCGTTTATACATATTGGAGGGAAAGAATGAAAAGGTCTTATTTTAAAGTGTATTATATTGTATTAATACACATACTTTCATTACTAGCTTTTCTCATTTAATATATTACAAACATTTGACAGTCATTAAATATTCTTCTATAATATATCATGATTTTTAATGTCTGAATTATATTTATTCTAAGGGCATACCATTGTGTACTATTTCCTGTTGTTGCACATTTGTTTTCAACTATCTCTTAATCTGAAAAGTTTAACACCAAAATGGAATTATAGGACATATCTACTTATGCAGAAATCCTAAAGAAATTGCCCCTTGCAGTCAAACAGTATACAGGTAAATAAAATAAAAGTACTAATATTATGTACCAAATTGATACAAAAAAAAGAAAAACTCACTCGTCTCAATAGGTACCCACAACTCATCTGGTGGAATGCAGAGTTGAATCTTGATTTAAACTTAAACTATAATGGAGGTTTCTAACTTTCTTAACATTGAAATGTGATAATTAAAGCCAACAGCCAGTGCTATACATACTAAAAAGGCACTTTGCATAGAAAAAAATTTACAAAGGTGGTTCCAGTCATTACTTATAAGGGTTTAGTATAATGCCACAAATGCTGATGAAAATCTGCCATATTTCATTGATTATAAGACAGACTTTTTTTTCATATTTATCATCTTTGGTGGAAGGATATGTTGATCACATGTCATAGTTAGACAGCTTTTTTTTCTTGGTGGTATAAAAATAATGGTTTGTCTTGTAGTTAATGGCAAACCATTTTAGATTTGATGAAAAATGGTATCATGAAAAGAAAATAAAAGCAGGTACACAATATCACTTTCAGTAATTGAAATAACTGTATAGTAAGAAAACCAACCAAAGTATTCTGAAGAGATACATTTTTAAAACCTTCTGGAATATCCAGATTCGTAAAAGTGGAATACTTGTAAAATTATTTTATTGATTTTAGAGAGAAAGGAAGGGAAGGGGGGAGGGAGAGAGAGAGAGAGAGAGAAAAACATTGATTTGTTGTTCCACTTATTTATGCATTCATAGGTTGATACTTTATGTGCCCTGATCAGGGATTGAACCGCAACCTTGGCCTTTCAGGATGATGTTCTAACCAATTGAGCTACCCAGCCAGGGTGAATCACATTTTTTTTTTTGTCACAAAATTTCTGTGCATAACCCCACTGTATAGGTTAACAGCCTTTTCAGTCTTTACTAAGATTTAATCTCTCATATAAAGGCCTTTTTTCCCATAAAATAAATTTTTGATATTTTAAAATTCCTTATTTTTATACATAGCTGCTCATGGTGAAGAGCAAGCATAACAGAACATAGAGAAGATGTGTCTGTTGAGCTTTGACCAGGTTCCTTTGCTAGCTAAGTGACTCATTCTAGCAGAACACAACTGCACAGTAGCAAAATGACACATTAAGTCTCATGAACCTTTGCAGAACTCTCAATTGAAACTACAAAATTAAATATGGAAGCCACAATCTGTGCTGAATGAGTTAAGCAAAGTTGCAGCAAATCTGTTGAAACAAAATCAAATATATCACTGATGAGAGATTATCTTATTTACGGGGATTTAGAATGTTATGTTCAGGTCTGGGAACAGCACATTAAGTCACATTAGATTATTTTCAGAGAAAAAACAAGTTGCTGAACGACATTTGGGAAAATCTGAAGTACCTCTAGATTTAGTCTGATTCAGAGGGGACATGATGACTTTTCAAATATTTGAAGGTTTATCATTATTTAACAATAATGGGTCTTCTTTAAGAAAAAGAAAGCCTGGCCAGTATGGCTCAGTGGATTGAGCATCGTCCCATGGACTGAGAGGTCCTGGTTAGATTCCAGGTCAGGGCACATCGATCCCTAGTAGGGAGCATGCAGGAGGCAGCAGGTTGACATTTCTCTCTCACATCTCTAGAATTTGGACCAGTGAGAAGTGCTAAGGGAATGAAAAAAGGGGCTTATTAGTGCGAACTGTCAGAGATGATATGAGAGGCCTTGTGAGGTGCCCCCCCACCCTAGTAATGTGTTTCAGCAGAGGTTAAACAGTAATTTGCAATATTACAGAGGAGAGTCAAAAGGGATGGAGAGTTGAACTCAGTAAGTAACCTTAAATTTCTCTCTAACCCTGTGGCTTTGTAAATCTTCAGACAATAAAAAGGTAGAATAAAAAATGGCTTCTAATTAGATATAGTCTCAGTTATCTGAATTATCAGCTTATTTGAGTACTTAACATGAGATCTGTACTTTTGGGGGTATGGTTGAAAACACTAAAATATCCTTATTGGGGATCTATGGAATGCAGAAGCAACTGAGGGAGCCAGGACCCAATACCCAGATAGGAAGGGGCTGGATTATAGAAGGCTTTAGGAGCCTGGAAAGGGCAAAAAAACCCATTGTGTTGAGTTCAGTGACTGTTAAAAAATTAGTTTGCTAAATGTTACTCATTGTGGCAAAATTTATTTGGTGTCCATTATTAAGCTGGGTCATTTAGTTTGCAAATTACAATCCCAGAGAATAAAATTTGACTCTGAAC